CGTAGAGTAGGGATCAGCTGAAAGAGATATTACACGAGATTTCGAAGCCGGGGAGGAGACGAGTCGTACCTCTTCTTTAGCAAACCTAGGACCGATCCCCACTACGTAGACGACATTTCTTTGGACAACGCGCACGTTAGCTAACTGACGACGGCCAAGCGCGTCAAGTTCTTTTCGTTCACGCTCCCTCTGCTTTTTCTGCTGAGTCAAACGTTTATGACTAGGAGTGGCACAAAATAAGTTCAGTCCTCATCGAATAGAGATCATACGTACTCTTGGGCGGCAATCGGCTTAAATTCCACAGCTTCGTCGGTGTACACCCTTCTACAAGCGGGACAACGTTTATTAAGATTTTCCTTGATATGATGCCAGCAGAAGCGACAGATCTATCGACGGAAGACCGCACAGAAGCGGGAAGATAGTCGGTCAGGAGAGGATTTGAATCGAAATTTTTTGGAGAAAAAAAGATACCTGATATCCACAGACACACGGCTTAAAATTAAGGTCAGAAATATCCATTTCTTCGAGGCACAGAGGACAATCTGCATCTTCCTGTAAATTCCGTCGAGGAACCCAGTTAGATAAACAAGGGAGTTTTTACACAACGAAAAATCTCTACAAACCGCCTCGTCATCACTCCAATACGCGTCCTGAACACCAGCTAGTACATGAGACTTGCTTTGAGGCACTGAAAACCCGGCATGGACTACTGGTGCTGGAAGAGCATGATGGATCCGGGTCGCTGTTGACGACGACATTATAACGAATTAATAAGGGATTAGATTCTGAGAGATCTGAAGACTCTATAGGATCTGAGAGTAGAAATTGTACAATCTTTACGATGAAAGAGTTGACAGTTGCTGGTAAAAAGACAAAGGAAAACGCGATGCGGCGACGACAATGAGGTTGGCTGTGAATTTGATGGCGATGACTAATCCTCGGGCATCGCCGAACACCGGCCGGAGACCGAATCAGTCAACCTAACGACTCCACTGCCGATCCACTGCTGCACCGTGTAAGTAGCTTGAGTATATGCTCTCAGCGAATAGATTTCTCTGCTTATGACACTGTCTCCAGGTTGGCTCCAAGTATTGCGCACGCAGAACTTACTGTATTGAAGGACACCGAAAAGCTTCGTCTCGGTACCTCTCAAATCTCACAAACGGCTCATCATAATCCAAACAGTAATAAACCTGTTTCAATAATTGTTCATCAGGAATGAGCACTTCAAATTCTTTAATCCAAAGGTCTCTCTTTGTTTATCCTCCTAGCTTCCTCGCGACTTCCGGAGCCAATTTGAGTGAAATTTGGCAAGGACTTGGAATGATGCCTCCCTTTACCCATCCCAAAATCGGTTCCTTCCTCCGGGCTCCCCTGACGAAGCGTCGGCTCCGGTGCTAGTCCTTCCTAAGAAGAGCTTCCCATACAAAGTTTGGCGTGAATCCTTTTGCTCGGATCATTTATCATTTCGTGAAGTCATGTAAAACGCGGATTTGTATCGGCGCAAAGCCATGTTCAGTCTGGTCGAGCGACGTAAAGTCGACGAATCGATCGTTAGTAGTCATTTTGAAAGTTAAAAGAGCCTTTACACTTGTATCGTCGTATCGCCTACATCGCCTGCGCTATGGACAATCATAGGATGCCGCCTGGTCGCACTATCTCCATACATACTCTATTAAGGCACACCGGCCGTAACATTCAAGCCGCTGGACAGTGACACTTTACATAGCAGAAACCCAGAGAGTTATGTACAGTCCAGCTGCACGCCAAAGCCAGATAAGCGAGGGCAATAGATAGATGAGAAACAGAAAGTATGAACGGTCGAATTCTCTATAGTCAATCTAGACATAATCCATCTGAATCTGAATATTGTCGAGAGGTAAACCACCGGACTAATTGTTCTCAATGTACCGCCGAAGCAGACATATCTAGCACAATAGATATAGCACAATAGATGAGACACAGTTTGGCACGGACAGGGATAGAAAAATCATCACAGACAATGACTGACCGATCTCAACCTGATTGTTAGCATGTAGGACAGTACTTACAGCACTTTCAGGGATCTCCACGCCATCCACAGCGAACAGGGCTTTCCCAAAAGCACTTTGAGTTTTGACCTACATTTCGCTACAGTACGATTTACCATTGAACATATCCTCGGAACAGTCACTCTTTGAGCTGTGGAAATATCCTCGAATACAAACCGTATCATCGCAGTTGAGATCTTTGGAGAAACGGTCTGCCAAAAGTTTGGAGTTGACGAGAGGAAGCCCAAAGATATCGGCCAGCAAGATAATTGCACGAGATTTGTTTCCAGAATAGAGGGTCCGGTAGCGAAGGAAGCACCATTCATGGCTACAAGGCCTGTAAGGAAGAATGATTCAGTCTGACCAACTCGCTTTACGGAAGAGCTCTCAAAAGGCTGAGAAACAAGAGAGGATGCGACTCGTCCAGGGATGACTGACAGATAGCTGGCAGTGATTGTTCTAAGCTTCTCCGCGTTTTTGGGGACTGGCCTGTAATTCGCGAAGGGCATCATTAATTTCGGGTTCGCACAGCTATTCGTCCCTCCAGATTGTTCTCTACCATAGCATTTGTGGTGCATCTATCTGATCTTCAGCTGTTCAGGCGTGAAGTTGACATACAGCGTTTTCGCATTACGAGGGTAAATCGTGCGTGTTTAATACCTGGCTAAGTAAGAGTTGACAAAAAGCGAGAATTGGATAATAAGTACACAAATAAGATGGGACCCTAACTTCGACGGATAAATAAAGGACGACGACTCAATAAAGGCTACCTTCCTCGTCATTGACAAATTGCTTTCCAGTTGATTTCCGCCCCCTCTCCGTACGTTTCCTTCAACCACTCGTTTGCTTTTTTAAAATGACCATTGCCAAGGAACCCTTTGTACGCCGAAAGCGGCGACGGATGAGCAGACCTGAGCAAGTTAACGTGAGCGAGGGGAATCACGCTTATCATTTGAAGGAATAACCACCTTAGTATAAGATGTTTTTTCTGGAAAAGGAAAAGCAAAGAAATAGATGAAAGTCAGTAAGCGGGAGCTGGATTCGAACACACCTCATCAATTTTGATCTTCTCTATCGTCTTCTGAGCTGGCAAGCCCCAAGCCATGAACACTACACCTTTGCTGCCGCTCTCGGAATCCCCTGTCCTAGAAGTAACAGTCCTGATAACTTGGGCAGTAAATGTCTCCCATCCTTTCCCGGCGTGTGATCCAGCTTTATGAGCGCGCACTGTAAGAGAAGTATTGAGCCAGAGAACGCCGGAACGCGCGAGAGGCGACAGGTCGCTGTTTCGGAAAGATTGAGATTACGGGTAAGAGCAGGGAACGCGTATTACAATACCCAGTTTTAGGAATCTTGAAGCCCGACACGTCCTCTGCCATCTGCTTATATATATTCTTCAAGGATCCAGGGAGTGCAGTTGGTGGTAGGACTGAGAATGATAAACCTATTGAATCATTAGCAAAACCGGTCATTGTTGAGGTAGAATACAAACCATGAGCTTGGCCGACGTTGTGATAGGGATCCTAGTCACTTTGTCTCAGATACGAGGGTACAGAAGTAGGAAAAGATCGCGTACCTGCCCGAGAATAACAACTTTGACAGATTCAAGGGGCGTCAACCGAGACCAGGAATACACGTCCTTCACTGCATTAGAGTACCGGACACGACAACATCAGAATTCAAGTAGATGAATTATCCGTGCTTCACTCACAAGGCGGATAAATGGTCGACGCTTTGAGCTCATTAGATAAAAACTCTTTCAGCTATCAAGATTGGTTAGAATATTATGAATGCCCTAGTAGCATACAGCATACACAGACCTTTGTAAAATACGCCTTCTCAAACTCTCCCTCTAGTGCCTCATACCACGAACGACCCATCGTGTCCTTTTCTAGCGCATCAAGCTGTACGGCAACAGAAGCTTGTAATTCTTCTGGGACGTTTGACATCGAGGGAGACGGCGAACCAGCGCTGGATTTGGACGCGAAAGGTAGTTTTTGTCTAATAGACGCGTGAATTGGAAAGCCTCAATACTGCTGACTTCGTGACAATACCCACTGAACGGTGGTTTTGGCCGTTGACATTTTACCGCCAGCAGCAGTAGCTACAGCGACTCTAGTAACCTTTGTCACTATCATCCCTGATTCTGGCTCTGAAGAGGCTGAGATTGCTTTAGATGTGTCTTTCGGCATGAGAGTTGGACGTTGAAAGCAAGTTTGGGTGACTCATCGCAACGCGACGCGCTCTCACGTGTGGGCATCATTCTGGCATGGTCACTCTGAGTCTCCGCTGACTCCTCAGCGTTGAGTACTGAGTCTCGAGCTCACTCTGCCAACAGGTGCTTCCATAATCATTGACGCAAATACGATATGAGATGTAGATATATTGTAAGATGTGGGGTGAACGATCGAGATAAACAATGGGAAGCTATTACTACTGTAATAATGGACCAAGATATGTGGAAGCAATAGCGAGATTAACAAGCAGAATTTCTGAAGAGCAAAGATTTAGCGAGCGTTCCGGCGGAGATTGGAGCAGAATGAGAATCAGTTAACGGTTTTCTAGGCCGCCGCTCCGTAGAGCGTAGTGCATTACAGCATAGAACCTTGGTAGATTCTTAGAGCCCAGTGCGTTTCATCTTTAAGACTGAGAGTAATCGAGGATATCTTACCTTACCAGCGGTCAAGTTCGAGCCTTCATTCGAGGAGATTGACACAGACACTGACTAAAACATAGACTCGAGGATGGAAGCAGGAGGAAACTAGCAAGAAAGAATCCCACGAAAATTATCTGGGTATGTATACATGTACGGCATGGTCCGTGCGCAGAGAGGTGAAGTTTGAGCAAAGCTCAAACGTCGCACCAGGCTACATAGTAAAGCAACTCCGTTAAGTATTCGATTAGAGCCTGAGATTCAAAAGAAAGTTAAAGAAAAAAAACCAACCTAATCAAGCAAAAATTAGATCAGAACTGCCCCAGAGAGGCTCGAACTCTCGACCTTCCGATAGTAATCAGTACGATAACAGTCGGACGCTGTAACCAACTCAGCCATGGGGCAGATATCATTTTATGTAAGAAAATACACCAAGTCAGTCCTAGAAGTTAGTCGTCCGCAATTATGCAAACCACCTGAACCCTTGGGTTTGGGGACTTCGTGCCTATTGCAATAATTCGGATCCGCGATCGAAAGGAAGGGAATGTACTACATAAACGCGCCAGAGGTTCCTCATTTTCTGTATTCAGCTTTGTTTTTAAGGAAGAGTTGCTGGGCTTCCTCACCTCAGGCAACCCGTCACTCGTTCTCTGTGAGGAGAGAAGGTCAATTTTCCGTGAACATGAAAAAATCAAAATCAAGTTTCGGCGAGGCAGTTTGTCTTCCTGAGTGTCAAGTCATGAACGCGTCTTAAAACTTAAAGCCTCAGGTCGAACGCCGCGCGCGTCATACTGGTGGATTTGCCTTAATGTTCAATGAGGCGGCCGCTAGCAATTTTTGATACATAGATAAAGCAGAGGACGTCAATACAATAGGCATAGATGGTAGTACAATTTGGTTGCATGCATCACGAAAAGATGGTGCCAAAGAAACGCGGATCGTGCCAGTGTTTTATGAGTCTATCCATACTTTGCATGTCTACAAGTCCTAATGATTACAGAAATTCAGATGACAAGTACTGTTTGTTAACGCACCCAAGTCTGATTTCCAGTTTATCACGGCAACCTTCTTCACTGTTGTTTGGTCAATGACCTGTCCGACTATTTCCACATAAGTGCTTGAGATCCCCGAGTCCTGAAGACCAAGTTGGTTAGAATTCATGGAGGAAAGCAAAAAGTTGCATTACGCCAGTAAACTTGACAAGAACTTCTCCACCGTCAGTTGTTTGCACCGTCACCGTGTTGTCTGTAGTCTGTCAAATCGTTCTAGCTTTGATTTGGGAAAAGAAATACACGTCGCGTACTGTAAGAATTTTGCAAGGAATTCTGACTATCTTTCCAACAAAACGGGGAAGAATAGCTGAGTTTACGCGAGGACTGATATCTTGAGACATGGTTGAAAGAAAGAAAGACGCTGGGAGTCACGTCGCGTCGTCACGCTTCACGTTTACTCGATTTATGCTCTTATCAACCATTCTGAGTCTGCCCGATGGACTCGCAGATCAGCTCACGTCCCTTGGGATCTTGACAGACACCGAACTGATATTCTCAAACGCGTCTCCTCTTGAAATTTACGCGCGTCTATCTCCAAAAACCCTTTCTTTCACTGAATTCGAGGCATGTATAGAAGCACTCTCCGAAAAACTCGCCGCCCCCGGGCAGAATATTTTGGAAATTAAACAGGAATCTCGGTTAAATTTCAAGATTGAGACGTTTCCCTCCTTGGACAGTCATCTCGGAGGAGGTCTTCCGTCTGCTCGCGTCATCGAAATCTCCGGGGACAAAGGCTCCGGGAAAACGGTAGGTAGATTGGGGAGCCATTGACAATGAAGGAACCTACATGCTCCTAGACATTTCTGCTCAACTGCGTGTTAAGCACCCTGCTTCAAAACAAGAACGTGGAAGCCTTATGGATCGACACGACAGGCGACTTCTCCACGGAAAGAACCATGGATATTCTGCAAGCTTCTCAAGAGGTATGTTTGAAAATAACTTCGATTTCTTCAAAGGTCACTTACTTGCTACTACAGACGCACGATGAGCTGGAAATGATATTACAAAGGCTGCATGTCTCCACTGCAACAGATATCGAGTCGATTCAAGAAATCATACGTGCTGTAGATGGGCAGCTGGCTTCTGTATGTCCGAACCCTCTTCTTCAAGTAAGTATGTCACTAAACGTATCGAGGTAGGACCCCTCTCGGCGTATCAGATGTATCGTTATCGACACGATTACACCTGTAGTCGGTCCCTACTTGAGTGCTGTCTCGTCGCAGGGGCATGCTATTATGACCGCCCTCATGCGGTACCTTCGCCATCTTGCAACTCGATACTCGACACTCATCCTGGTTCGTGGCAGCGAATTGCGAACCTATTTTTCTCTCATTGGATCCCCCAGGTAGTCAACAACGCAACACTAATGAGAGCCCCTTCTTCTGTCCAAGAACCAGGGACTTTTGAGCCTATCCCAAACCCGCAGTCTGCTTTTGCATCAACGACTCGAAAACCAGCACTGGGACCTTCATTTACTTTCATGACTGATGCGACTTTATGGCTTACTGTATGGCCGGACCCAAACGAGGGCGAGCCTGACGGTTCTACGGCTCATACTGTAGAAGTGCTCCGGTCAAAATTCTCGGTAAAGCGTTTCATTTTAGATTGCGAATGTTCGGGATCTCACAACTTGGTAGTCCTCTAATGTTTGGAGTACGTTCAAAATTGCGCGGACGGGAAAGCTGATCTCGGGCCACCTTCGTAGTAATTCTAGCTGAAATTAGTCATGAAATATCAGGAGGGTAGTTATCCCTATGAACCGTATTCCGATCTAGTTACCCGTCTACATTCTCCCTCAGAGCAATGGCTGGTCCGTCAAAATCAGGTCGTTGCATGACAATGTTTCGCAGAGGAAGGAATAAAGACCGAACATTTGGGTCTTTTCCACCGTCCGACTTCTGATGCGCCTCAACCCAACCCTTGAGTTCCTCCCATGTAACCCACTCCCATGTCTCACACTTCTCTGGCTCGAGAACCTTGAAAAAAAAAAAAGAGATATTTTAGACTCTAGAAGGTTACTAATCATCAGATCCAGAAAAGCTCGCCTCGGGCTGGGCTCCAGGATCCATTATCTCGCATGCAACGAATATCGTGACGTAGTGTTTCCCCTCGTCGACCATGATATCGTTCGTTGCTGTTAAAAAGCGTACATTTCTAATTTCAAGACTGGTCTCTTCCAACACCTCTCGCGCGGCGCAGGCCTCAAAAGTTTCGCCTGCCTCGAGGTGACCGCCCGGCAGTGCCCAAGTACCTGCGAATCGTTACCAGTACCAGTTACATATAAGACGTATTACGATTGAGTCCTCGATTTCAAATGATGGTTGGCGTACCATGTCCATGACTTCCTTTTCGTTTCCCCATGATGAAATGTCCAACTTTGTTGGTCACAAAAACGCCCACTCCAATCCTTGGGTTTGTAACGGTGGTGGTTTGCGAAGTCATCTGCTAATTTTCGAAGACATACAAATGACGTTCATACCACCGCGAGGTCGAACTCGCAACCTTATCCTTATCATCTGCGAAGATCTAGTTCAATCGGTCCGCCACCTTAACTAGCCCACCGCATCAGTCAAGACCCGTTTCCTTACCAGAATCGCAAGTCTCGGAGTACTAGTAAGAGTCTGAGCCTCTGTGCGATTGAGCTAACGGAATAAGACAAATGGAATGAATTAATCAAGGCGTAGGTAGCTACAGATAGTAACAGCCAGGCTACAAAGAACGTGCATTATCTACATCATATTACCACAAACAACAAGTCCGAATGAGTGGAAGAAATGCGTCGAAGAAGTTAACCGATACAAAACCGAAAAAGAAAGAGTCGTGGTCATGCTACAAGCGTGGAAGAGATTAAGAGGAGTTGGCCAGTAGCAACACACCCCCGCGCGTACTATCAGTAAGAAAGTAAAGATACAACTAAAGTCCATGCACGCATAATAAAGCCGTATAGTCGTCATTGAGAGAAGTGGAAAGGGAAAAGTCGAATGACGTTTGTTCGACTATAGCAATGCACCAACTAAAGTGCTCACGGCAGCGATCACGATGCCAGCACCGTAGATGCCGTGTATTGAGGATGCGCTGTTGCTGTTGGAGTTTGAGGTTGCGGAGGGTGACGACAATGAGGCTGATCCCGAGGCGGAGGTGCCATTGAGAGCGAGAGCCTTGGCTTTGAAGGCTTCGAAAGAATTGGCACTGTTTTCGACAGCGTTAACACTGAACACCATTCCGGATTCGCAGTGCGAAACTGGATTGGTCTGACGGCAGTAGGCCCAGATAGGTTTAGTCTGGAAAAGGCGAGTCAATTTCGGGGAGAGAAAGGACGTGAAGAAAAAACATACGTCGTTGATCGTGATGGTCATGGTTGGGAAATTAGTTTGATTGGCGGAGACGGGCATGAATCCAGAGTCAAAGCTGGTCGTTCCGGCACTGCTTACAGAGAGAGGAGTGCAGGGCTGAATACAAAGTCCGTTAATTTTCAAAATATATGTACAAGGGAAAGATACACGTACATCAGCGAAGGAACTCTGGGTGGCGGTGTGGTTCTTTGCGTGGAACTCAAACGTGACGGTGTCGCCCACCTGGGCGGTGATATTGGCGGGATTGTACGTGAGGGTACCGTTGTCACCGACGATCACTCGGTAATTAGTCGACGAGGCAGAAGTGGGAGCAGCAGATCCGGGATAAGAGCCGTAGGTTGTAGTAATAGTTTGACCATTGGAAACAGTAACAGTGGCAGTCACAGTAACGACAGAGGCAGCCGAAGTAGAAGTAGAATTTTGACCCATAGCTGCGGCCTTGAAGGCAGCGAATTTGGCGTCGGAACCGGGGTTAACGGCAAACACCATTCCGGATTCGCAGTGCGAGACGGGATTGGTTTGAGCGCAGTAGGCCCAAACAGGCTGAGAGAGAAAGGAGTGAGCATTGGAACTACAAGATATGTATGAAAGGAACGTACGTCCGTGTTTTCGATTGTAAGCTCGGCGGTTGTGAAGCCGCTAGTAACATTGGCCGCAACGGGGATACTGAAGAAGCCAGTCAATCCAACATGATGCAACAATGGAAAAATTTGCCTTACAATCCAGAATCAAAGCCGTTTGCGAGTGGAGAGCAAGGAGAAGCAAATGAAGATTGGGTCACGGTATGATTTTTCTGCTGAAAGGTGAATCGGACAGTGTCGCCGATGCTTGCATTCTGAAAGCAATCAGTGAACCTGTGCCTCCGATTCAAGTCTCAAGAAACGTACCACATAATCAGGTGTGTAACCGATAGTGCCATTCAAACTTCCAACGGTAACGTCGATGGTGGCGGAACGCACAACAGGGGGAATGACTGCGAGAGAAATGCCAGCTAGGGCAG